TTAATCAAATTTTATATAATAAAATTTAAGAAATAATAATTAAAAAAAGTTATTATTAGTAAAAATTTTTTATAAAAAATATATAATAAAAATTTTTATATTTAAAAATAAAAATAAAATTTTATTTTTAAAAAATAATTTATTAATAATTATTTAAGATATAAATCTTTTTATATTAAACTATATTGATTTAATAATAATTATAATTTTAATAGAATTTAAATATTAAGTTAAGCTTTTTAAATTAATAAAAAAAATTTTAAAATTATATAATAAAATCTTTAATTTTATTCTTTTAAAGTTAAGTTATTTTATTAAATATAATTAAAGATATTATTAATTATTATATATAAAATATAATTAAATAATAAAATAATTAGATAAAAATAATAATTAATTAATAAAATACTAAAATAATAACTAGTAAAATTCATATTATAACATTATATAAAATTTAATTAAAATTAATATTAAATTAATAAACTTTGAAATTTAATTTTTTTATAAATATTAATTTAATCTTTATGAAATTTGAACAAATGTAAGACAATCTGCTTGCATAATTTCAAGTTTTAATATTGCAAATTGATTATAATACTTAAAAATATATATGTAATTTTTTAGAAAAGCATTACTTTATTTATTATTGAATTAAAGTACAATAGAATAATAAAAATAATATAAAAGTTAATCTAGATCATTCTTTATTTTGTATAAAAAAATTATAAAAATTAGTTAAAATTTAAATGACTTTATTAGAAGCAATTATTGATTTTTATTTTGAGGTACAAATCTTTTTGCACCAGACCAAGTTTTTTAATTAAAATCTCTTCTATCAGAACTTGCACTAACAACCCGTCCATCCTCATCTGCCACGATTTGATTCTTGCCTTGACTTTGTAATTCGGCAAGAAATTCCGGTAACGGCGGAACGATTATTCCCAAAGCGACCATTTTTTTTATTCCATTAAATACGTTTATGCCTTCGATTCGAATTTTCGCTGTTATTGGATTATTCTCACCACTTTGGAAATGACTTTGACGTAAGGGAATCTTGACCTTTTGAGGAAGAGGTAAATGGAAAAATCAGTTACTTATATAAAAAATGATCTACTTTGTTTTCTTATTTTTACCTGAATTTCATAATGATCAAGTGCTGGCTGGTCCTGTGAGCCAAAAGTATCTTTGGCAACAGTTTCCCTTTTTTTGGATATTACATCATCTGATACAATTCTACTATCTTCTTCTTTACGCGAATCTGAGAAAAGATGAAAACCGAATAGAAGATAAATTTATTCATTTCACATATAGATCCGTGCAACGTGAATTTTGAGTTACCAATCGCACTTGATCTCTTGGATGGGTGTATAAGAGGGTTGTCCTCCATTCGATTTTGACGAAAGCTATTGTATGACCCTTGGGATCCTTGATGCAATAATAGTTCTTGTAAGGAAGCGATATCTTTTCCTTTCAAGTCCAATTCTTCGACTTCTTTACAATTAAAAGTTTTTGTAATCCCCTAAAAATTAGACTAGGATTAATTAATAGTTAATAGACTGAATAAATTGCGAAAATTAAAGATATGACATGCCCATAATAAATATTCTTTATGATTTTTTTTCATAGAGCTACACAACAAATGCTCGGAATTTGTAAAATATACTAGGTAAATAATGTTGCTGGGCGGAGGAAGGGTGTTGATCGCTATCCCGTCGTAAAGACTGATGCGAGCCCATAGACAATTGTCGTGTAGCTCGGCGTCTACATGCTACATGAAAAATATATCAAAATCATTCGTCACCCTTATAATGGTATCCAATAAGCTATAAATAAAGAAAAAACAAACATTTCTGAAAAATGAAGAGATCTGTTTAGAAAGTGCCACTTGAAATTTATCCGCACGATTATATATTTTTTTCTCAACACCTGGATGTTTAAAACCTGGATTACATGCATAATCATCAATCGCAGAAAAAAGAAAAAATTAAATATTGGATAATTAATGGCATTAATACAGGTTTTTGTTTACCGTGCTCGAAACACAATTTAAATGCTGTCCATTTTTGTTGATTTGCATGAGATATAAGCATTTCGATTACAGTAAGGGTTAATTCTGAGACAAACGCAATAACAAATTATAATTTGGCTTGCTTTTATGTCACGCATAATCACGACACTGATACATTACTACAATAATTTTGCGCGTTTGTTTATTATAATGTTTTGTTAATGTTTATGTTTATAAATATTGCTTAAAAGTATAAGATACACTCACAATAAAATTCTTCAAACACATTAACAAAAAATACATAAATACATCCAAAATTCATGCACTAATCGGATTTATGATTATAATTCATGAAAAACGCGTACATTTTATATCCAATTGCGCGACTTGCAATAAAGTCAATCCATTTTTTTAATTAACACATAGATTTTAGTATTTTCTTCAGCAATAAAACAAGTAAACTAGAATATTTATTCTTAAAGGTGTCGAATATTTAATTTATCCATCCTTCTGACTCTATTTCTGATGTGTCGTCACCAGATTCTTTAATTTCATTAACAGTGTTGCAGTTGATCACAACCGAACAAGAATTCTCGAGAAATATCCTAAAGTCGAAATGTTCTCGATGAATTTCTTGTTCACAGCACCGCAATTATATGATCAGATGCGCCGGAGTCTAGATACTCTATATTTTATCTAAATTTAAAGAATGAAAAATCACTCGTTTTAAAGGAAAATTAATTTCCCAAGAATTTCAACGTGTCCTCTTTGGATATCGACATAATGCTCTAGTTAAATCACTCTAAAAAGAAATCAATCGTACAACATCTAAAGCTTATCGTTATTTTTGAACGTAATCTATCAACCGAACACACTTCGCAATGAAAAACTTCATTCCTCTCGTTTGGGTAAGAGCCGTGATTGAAAAATCGAAGGGAAATGATGGATTTTTAGTGATGTTACGGAGAAAGTGCCTATTTATAGTTAATCCTGAGTATCTGCCCATAATATGATCTTCATAATTCACGAAACTTTAAAAAATGTCACGGGTGATAATTGAGATATCACATCACCATGTAATGTAAGCTAAAAAAAAAAGGTTTAAAATTTGGAAACTTGTCGATCAGTTATTTACTAATATAAATTTTACCATATCGGGAGGATTGATACTAATTTTTGAAAAGAGAGATCGAGATTTTACTAGACTCGAGAATTATTTTGATATTTTCGATTTCCAATAAATCAACTTGTAATTCGACATTAAATACAATGGTGAAAGGAAGGTTCATAAATCTTGTATGGCATGAGATAATTTCTTTTTATGATAATGTTTTAATTATTAAAAGACATCTAAGACTAATTTTCACAACGCAATTATAAAAAAAATTTTATCTCAAGTTAATCCTTGGCCAGCGAAGACGCAAACAAAAAAGTATATATATATATATATATAAAAGTAGGGTACGTGATCCTGGCCAATATGTTCTCACTTCATCTTGACAATGAGTTGATTATGTTGAGCAAAGTAGACGATTGTTCGTATTTTGCAAGAAAAAAACTTCTCTGTCAAGCTTTAGTGGCAAAGTTTAGATGCAACTCGAAACAATTGCGGATGTTAATTCCACCGTTTCGTTAGGGACAATAGAGTGGAAAAACAATGGCTCTTTAAATGTTAAGGATAATGTCTAACGATAGTTTTAGACATCAGGTAATTACAATACTCAATTCGTGTCACGTCAAACTTCAAGTTGATCACCGATAATGATGATATAATAATAGCGCTTTAAAAGGTCATTTGATATCTTATCACTTTACCAAACTAAAATGTTTTCCTGTTCATCTTATAACATAATGCAATTAAAAATACAATAGGTTGAAATACAATAGGATCATCTCAAGACAATTACCCTGGTGATAATAATAAAAAGCATCACTTGAAAACTAATATAGCAGGTTCTTTGTGAAAGTTTTTTTCCTGCCGAATTTCCGATCTTCTGATCAGAAAGTGAGTCGCATGCTGATCAATGAATTTCCCACAGCTAGCCTAAGAGTTAAACATCACGTGATTATATATGAATGCGATGTCTATGCACGGCGAAGTATCTTTCGCTTTTGGATTTTTTTTACGTGATTCTCCTGGGCCGTCATTTCTCCTTTTAAACCTCGAGTCTACCAGTTGAACGCAATTCTTTGGAGTACGATTCCAACAACGTAGAAATCTTATATACAAAGTATTTATTTCCTGAAAAAAATGAGCGACGGTCGTTCTGTGTCGCTTCAATCCTCAGGTTAGCATTGACATATCCAATGCATGTATGTATTTTAAGCGAAATTATCTATTTGTAATCTTGATTGAATCTTGTTTGTACACTTTACAAAGTGGGAACTACCTCTGTGGAGGAACTGTCCGAGAAATATCAAAAACTCGTTCAAGAATACTCAAAGTATGCTTCTTTAATGAATTATGAATCATGTTGTTTCAGTTCGACCTCTTAAAATCTATCTTCTTATATTCTTACGTTGAATTACACGTGCAGGATAAAGGCGCAGCAAACAGTCCTCAAAAAGGCGGTTATCAAGGTAACAAAGAAAATGCACAAACGAATACTTGGAATCCAATAAAAATTAATGGTTTTCAATTTGTTAATTATTTAACAGGAGCAAGCCGCTAGTGCCTCACTGCACGAGGAAGTAAAAGCAAAAGAACAAGAATTACGGACGGTATTTATGTTACTAATTTTTCAGTTAAAAAGTGAGATTAAATTATTTCAACTTTGTCAATCTGATTTTTGTCGGTATTTTATCGCGCTTTATTTACAGTCATTACAACAGCTTGATCTCTTAACGTTTCACAACCAACGTCTCACAAAACGTATTGAAAGTCTTCAGGAGGCAGGAAACACTGTAAGCTATGAATTACACTTTATGCTCCTTATACTTAAATTCATTAATAAATACCTCACACTACATAGCGTTTGGCTCCTGGATGGCTGTTGGGTTCTGCTAAAAAAGAACTTGAAAGATCTAAATCTACACTTGAGGCCACAACTATTGAGTTAGAAAGAAAAATTGCTGAGAATGGTAGATATTCAAAAAAATTTAATTCCAAACGAATCGAAATTGATTGTACATATATTATTTTCAGAGAGATTACATGAAGAATTGTCCGAAGTCAAAGGTCTCTATACACAACACAAACAAGTGCTGCAAACAAAATTATCAGATCTAGAGAAGAGAAATGAAGAGCTAAAGGTGAATTTCTAGCTTTACAGAATAAACAAAACTATTCAATGTTTTGATATCCACATGTTTTTATTTTGGGTATTCAGGTGGAATTAACGAGATCACAACACGCAGGTGAAGAGGCAGTAGAAATAATTAAAAATGAGAAACAACGCATCGAATTAGAATTGGAGCAAACGCGAGCCGAACTTCGAAAGTACGTTCTTAAGTTCATTTGTTCTACATATTTCTTTGCCCTGATTTTTTAATTACTTTTGTTATAGAACAAAAGCCCTTTTAGATGAAAGTGAGCTTAAAATGAAAGATGAGGAAGATTTATTGAGAGCTGAAGTATCTACTTTACAAGAAACTCTATCGATTAATCTTGGATTATTCGAAGATTCGGATAAATTTAATGTCTGTACCTGTCATAATTAAAACTAGATTTTTTAATTAATTGCGCTATTTGAAATAATTAACAATCTTATCATCATCATTATTTTATTTAGACATTATATAACAAAATCGATTCAGAAGCCAATGAAATTATTGCAAGCTTTAAACAATTGCAATCTAGTGCACAAGAATATATGAAAGCAATCAGAGAAAATGTATATATAACTTGCATAAAAATAAACTATCTTTCTCAAAAATACACTTAATCTAAGCTTATCTTGGATTCTTATTATCATAGTCACACTCGTCACATTCACTTGGGACACAAATGAAAAATGCCAGTCAAAAATGGCACAAAAATCTCCAAAGATTAACGGCTAAATTGGCTTCTTTTCAAAGTAAGTTCCCAATTATTTTTTTATTTTTTAGTTGATCCTGTTTCTTTGATGAAATCGTCTATTCATTGTTTATTTGCCAAAAAAAAAAAGGCCGAATATCCGAGCTTACATTAGAAAAAGATAAATTAGCAAAAGAGAATGAAAATAACGTGCGAAAAATAGCCACTCTAGAAACAGAAATCGCCAAATTAAAAGAGGAATTTGCGAAATATCATGTGAGTCATCTATCCCGAAGGTTCTGAAGTTTCTAGTTTGTATGATGTTTGCTTTTCGACATGCATGGAAAAAATTGATGATGCCTGCATTTATTAAACATCTTGATGTCTTTATCAAACCTTGTTTATTCTTATATCGACGGCGTTTAATTTGAAAAACTCACTAATTTTTTCTTTTATCCTCTCACTTTATTCAATTTCTATTCCACATCTTAAAGTCGAATGTCACTACCAAAGAAGAAACGGAGAGTGCCAAAATTGAAGCAAAAAACCCCAGTCCCGAAATCGATGGAACATCGGCAACAGAAGAAAATCATATACTTGAGGAAAACTTTAAACTTTTAGAAAAAGAAAATATCATCGAGAATAAAACATCAGAAGTCCAAAGTCACGTAGAGAATATTTTGCATGTTAATGGCATTAATCACGAAGAGACTTTGACAAAAGATGAAAAGACCGTTTCCCAAGAGGAAACACAAAATCAGACCATATCGAATCATGATTCTGATACAAATGTAGATGATAATGAAGAGGATGTTGATATAGCTGCAGAGATTGCTGCTGCACATCTAAAAGCCTCTAAACCGGATACAGTAGATGAAAAAGCGCCTGAAAACAACACTGTCACTCATGCAGAAGAAGACGATGAAGATGACGATGACGAGGAGGTTAGTAGTGATTCTTTAGTTATTTCATAAATGAATGTTTATATAATTAACAAAATAATGTCATTTTCTTAGTTTGTTTATAAGCCAATTAACGAGACACAAATATCTCAAGATCAAAGTCCTTTGCTTGAAACGACTCGAGAAATAAAATCTTCAGAATCTTCCATGCCGCCCCCAAATACACGATTATTTAATTCTGAAAGAGGCAAAGACAAGTCTATTGATATGCTGCATGATACTGAGGTATGATACATAATTGATCAAATCTAGCCATTATTAAAAAAACATTTAGTAAATTATCTTTGATTCTTATAGCGTGTGGCTATCTCAGGTGATGCCAAACGTGAATTGCTAATAAAGAAACATTACGAATCCAAAATTCAACAATTGACAGAAAAGGTTGGTTGACTGCTTTTTTTTATTTAATAATTTTTTTTTATAATTTAACTTAATTCCTTTTATTTTCAGCTGCAACTTGCAGATAGTAAATCGGTTAAATTTCATGATGCTTTGAAAGTGATGCAAGCCAAGTTGAAAGAGTCAGAAAATGAGAAGGAAAACTTACGACAAGATATTACTAGGCTTCAAGATGAAAAAGCTAGATTGAAGGTATAACTATTTAATAATGATAATAATTTTTTCGGTCTTTCTGTTTAATTTATTGCTTGAAAAAATTCTTAGATTGAGCTCGATGAAGAAAAAGAAAGCCATCGAAAAAACGTAGAATCGATGACAGAATTTATCAATAATAATATGCAAGAAAATTATGAATACCCAAGTGGATCTGGAATGTAAAAATAGAATGGAATTTATTTGATACATATTATTGTTTATTGTAAACGCGCAATCAGTCTCGTTAAAAAGGGATTTTGAAGGGATTTTTTTTGTGAATTCATTTTGTATATTATCTAAAACACTGTATTTACACGGTTTATACATAGAGATGTACAAGTATAACAAAAACGACTATTATAAAGAATGTAACTATTGGAAATACTATAGATTGAGGTTGCAAATACTGTATAAAACCCAATCAATAAATAATAAAGCTTGATGAGATTTTATTAACAAAAAATAATACATTTAGTATTCATAGCTATGATTGAATATGTACAAATATTATTTATTTATTTAGGAACGAACGGAATTTTCTCTGCAGGATAGGTAGGACCTACTAGTTTAATGTTAATATTTGCAAGCCAATTCGCAGCGGCGATCGACTCCTCTACAGATTTTCCTTGGACGTACTGACTCAGGAACCCACCAACGAAAGCATCACCAGCTCCATTTGTATCGACGATGTCGTCTTCCGCGATAGCGATAACAGGGTATTCTTTTATAGTACCATCTTGATATGCTACAATTGTAGGCTGTGAGCCTTGCGTAATCACTGCGATTCGTGGGCGTTTCGTGTTGACTTTCGGTAGTTGAGCTATACTAAGTGCAATCTGTTTGATATCTGTATGCTTTAAAATTTTTAGTATAAAAATAGCGAACGATTATTAGACCAGTCATTGAATTGACATAAAGTTACTTAAAATCGTTTCTCACCGCCCACTCATGTGCTTTCGCAAAAGCATCGGCTTCAGTTTCATTACCGAATATGAGGTCCCAATATGGGGACACCTCATCCAGAGCCTTTGTGAAAAATTGAGCCAAGAAAGGAGCCGAGAGATTCATGACAAATACCTATATTTTAAAAGTAAATCTAGAAAGTTCGGAGAAACAAAGAGAGATAATATTAGATTACTGACTTTATTCTTCTCTGCAGCATGCTTAGCAACCTCCAGTATCGAAGGTACGGAAACGGTCAAAAAGAAGCCACTAATATAAAAGAATTCGGCATTCTCTACATGCTTCCATTTCACAGATTTTAAATCGTCCAATTGATATTTTTCGGCAGCAGAAAGATTAGCCACCAGTGATCTATTTATAAAACTTAATTAATAAGTGAATGATAAAAAAACATACTATTATATATTTAATACCTATGATGATCGGTGATGATTACAGCACAAGTTCCCGTAGCAACCTCATCCACTACCATATATTCAACACGTAACCCGTCTTTCTCGGCTGCACGTCGTAATTGTTTGCCAAAATGATCATTGCCAATACAACCAACGTATATGGTAGATTTCGGTGGTAAAAGATACTTTATAGTGTGGTGGTAATCAATTAAAATTTTTCAAAAACAATAACTTTCTTTTTATTATTTATACCTGAGCACCACGTGCAGTATTCTGGGCTGCACCACCAGCCACGTATACGGGCTCGTAATTTTTAACAATTTCCTCATATCTTAATAAAAAATTTGTATATAGAATTCCCGCTGCTTTAAATGAAAAGGATTAACAAATACATACAACGGTTTATGCTTTTCTTCGGCCAGAATAGAGTCGTTTGCTTTAAGCCCATATCTATAAAATTATCGAGTTTTTACCTTGAGTCCTCCGTTAGAAAGATCGTCAAAACCACCCTTTTTTTCGAATCTCTTTTACATACTTCTCTAGTAAGGTCTTATCTGCATTTACCTGAATATCTAATAGTGGGTTGCCCATCACGAATAACTCATATTCTTTTCTAGCTGTGGCCATTTTTTCGTTGTGTTTTCTAAATTAACTAAAAAAGAATCCTTTAGGGAATACAATAGCAAAATTTTTGTCTGCATATTTATAAGACTCGAATGACTCATATTCTTTGAATTCAATATTAGGAAAAAAAAAACGTGTCGTGCGTGGGAAAATGAGATCATACCTTCATAGGCACACTTTCGAGGCTAGTGTCAACTGGAAAACTCGCCGCCTCTCTCCTTAGAATTTACCTATCCTGATGGGCTGCTCACCTCTTAAACGTGATCTGATGAAATCCATTGTCACACGAAGTAGTTAACTTTTGAGTAAAAAAGCTAGAGCCAGTGGCTAAAGATTACTGATTGTTTGATAACGTGTATAGAACTGCAATGCGTTAAGTCAGCGTACAAGTAAATTGCTTTAAATCTTTTATAACTTGTATTTCATGTATTAATTGTTTTAATGAACCTATAAGCTAACTATAACATAGAAAGGTTACGCCTGCGTAGTACGGCTCCACAAATCCATCAAATCCAGCTAAAACTCGTAAAAGCACTCGCCAAACACTCGCCGATGCATTGAATGTGTTATGAGCTGGGGCACTTATGTTCGTACATTGTGTGTGCATCTTTGGTCTGCTGCTTGGCATCATCTGACACATGAAAAGATTGAGACGTGTGTATTGCTGTTATCTTGATTAAGGTTGTTTTATGTTAAGGCTTAGCGTTAGGATAATGATAATATGTTGACGATTGTAAAAGACTAATCATATTTCTTTTTTCATAAAAGGCTAATCATTCCCTTTTCTTAGTTTTATTCCTTTCATTGCGAAAGGAATGATTGGCCTCTCATTGCGAAAGGAATAAATTAGTCTTTCACGAGAAAAGGAATAAAATTAGTCATCTATTTGCGATGCCTTCATTTTCTGGTTTTATTATTATTAATCGAATTGATACTTGAATAGAAAAATTTTATTTATGAACAAAATTCGTAATCATTTCCCAGTCGTCATTAAATAACGTGATAACGGTAGAAAATTTTATTATCGTTATCGATCGTTGTGCAAAAGATGTTATACACAATCGTCTCAAGGTTTTTGAAAAATAGATCCCCCACGCATAACGATAACACATTTCCTCAACACATGCATTTTCATATGAGTCATTCCATTATGGTAAAGTCCTCCTTTTACAATCATGCAGATCCATTGTTATTGCTCCCCTCCGAAAAGGAATTCTTATTAAAAATGGTCACTACTACATTTTATTCGTAATGGGAAATCCCATTATTGTTAGATATTAAATGGCGGCAGATTAGACCTTACTTTTGAGAAGTATATAAAATGTGGGAGGGAAAAGGAGTTTTGCGACATATTTAACGGGAGACTCGAGGTATAAAGGCTCGATAATTTTAGAGATGAACTCAAACCAAACGAATCTATTCTGATCGAAAAAAAAGCATAAACCGTTGTATTTTTTTTTTCTTTGGGAACTGAAAGCCTAAGATTAAAATTCTCTCTATATTTGTGACTATCATCAGTTTTATGATGACAATAAAAAATTTATAATTTAATTTAATTTAATTTGACAATTTCTTAAAAATAAAAAAAGTATATTTACAATTCGAAGTTAATCTTTCGATTCCTATATTATTTAACTTATTTAATTTATGAAGGGATGTGATGGAAGAAACGACTATTTAACTGTCATGCGGATTCCATTCGTCGAGGGGTTGCTGTAAACATGCGACGATGATCATAGTGAATATTGTGAGTGATTGGTAATGGTGCGATAAAAGAGCCCTCTTGTTTTCCGATGTCAGCCAAAGTTTGAAGTATGGGGTCGCTAAGGAGTTGTTCCATAAAAGAAGTATCGCGTCGATGACGACGGGGTGTGTTACTAGGGGTGATTGTGGTGGTAGTGGCCGGTGGATAAGTGTAATTACGTGTCATATTATCTTGTTGATTTTGTGCTTGCGAGGAATTAACGGGTTTGATAATGTTGTTAGTGTTATTGGTGTTGTTGATGTTCGAGTTTTTTACTGCTGATGTTGTAGCCATGATGACGATGAGAACTCACTAGCCGCGTGTTGATATTTTGTACTTGGCGCAGTAATTGCCTTATACGAGAATGAGAATTTTGGTTAAAGCAAATAGAAATGCGGCTGTAACGGTTGTAGTTTAATTAGAGAAGCTTTCCCGCAATTACTTATAGCCAGAGAATAAACAAAAGTGAATGCTAGTTTCAGTATACAGTCACTTAATTCAAAAGACACATATATTGTTAGTCGGTGCGCGAAGAGAATATTATTTATTTTTTTTTCGAAGAAACAAGCGGCGGCTATTGTTATATTTATCAGGTAATTTCTTACGCAAGAAGAAAAGGGTGGAGTGAGAGAGATGGTGGTATTTAGTTATGGCAAAATAGTTGAGAAATTTAACGCGCAATAAACAAAAATGTGGTGGGAATAAAATTTACAGTTATTTACGAAGGTTTCGCTCACGACTATCACACACATTTATATCATAATCGACCAAAATCATCTGAGTAGAAAGTAAAAAAGTCGCAATAGTCTTGTGTAAAGAGAAAAAAGAGAAGAGGTTCCTCTCGCATGCATAATTCTGCATATATTTACATAAATTAATAAATAACACGTATAAATTTTTTTACTTTACCGTGTGTATCACGATTCCCTGGGAATTAATTCGACTTCCTTTTTTTTACATTATATTGATATATATATACATATATTATATTTATTTATTACAGAAATGATATATCATTTATCAATCGTTAGTTCCCTGACACAAATTACCAATAATAAAGCATTGTCATACCTTTAATACAATGTTGGTATCTTTGTTGTGCTCACCTTGTACAGCTTTTTGTGCTTGTTTTGTTGAGAAGCATGATGAGCATCTTATTCATCAAAGAAAATTAAGATCGATTCACAAATATTGGTTTTTCTTCGTAAATTACTTCTATGCCCTATGATCTGTGTCACCGCAAAGTATAAGCCAAAACTGCGTGTGTGAATTTTAATTTTGAACGAGAATTACTTTTTCTTTCTTAAACACATTTAGTTTACGATTGGTATGACAAATTAATAAATCGTTTGTGTGATCATTATTGCTAATCATAACCTACAGTTTTTTTCTTAATGCTACATGCATAATAAATGACAAATTTATTAACACGCGCATGCTCGCATTAATAATAGATAACGATAAGTTTTTCCTGTTATCATTTATTATTTGTGCAGATAGAATAGTAATGAAAAAAATGCGAAATGTTATTAAGACTACTCCTTTCCATATCAAGTTTTCCGTTCCCTCCAGTAAAAATTTAGCGATCTAAATCTCATCAAAAAAAATAATCCACTCAATATAATCACAACCGCTCGAATTTAACCTTCATACTCTATAAAGTCACACTTTTTTTTATGTGTGATATATGCGACTGTAATCTACATACCATGCGGAATCCAAATTGACAAGATAAGGATTAAAGCTGATGCCACTATAGATTGTAATCAGGATTGGCCCTTGGACCAGTCCAAAATTTTGTTCAAATATCTAAATAATTAAATTACTAATAATTTTTTCAGGACAAGTTGTCCAAACTGTCCAAGGGCTACATTTACATATGTTGTACACAATCTGTCCCAAATAACAATCAGAATATGTTCGAAATTAATCATCCAGCACTATTTTGTTTGATAATAATACAGATCATGTGGTTTTAATCTGTCTCGAACAAAAAATTATATTTAAATCACATCATGCAATGAGATAACTCTATAAAGTAATATATTATAAAATATTATTATAATAAGTAAACAAGAGCTAATACATAAACTAATATTTTGATTTAATTTTTTTATAAAAATTTAAAACTTTTGAATATATTCTTTTTTAGAAAGAATAAAAATAGATATAATATTAATAATATATTTATTCTAATTATTATAACTTATATATAATATAATTAGATTTAGTAGATAACAATATATATATATATTGTTACCTACTTAAGCTAGACTGTTACCTACTTATAAGTATATTGTTATCTACTTATAGATATATTGTTACCTACTTATTTTATAGCTACTTATTTTAATCTTTAATAAGCTTGATATTTGCTTTCTTTTAACAATTCAAGTAATATGTAAATTATATTTGCATTATTATTTAACACTAAGACATACTATAACATGATGATCATGATCAATTTTTGTTATCACATATAATATATTATATATTGATTTAGTAATCATGACCAATTTTCATAATTAAATTACATGAACAAAAAAATATATTGATAATATATTAGATCATATGTTATTATTTATGAATCTAATATGAAAGCTATATCTAAATCTGATATATAATATCTTAGCTTTTTGATTAATTTCTTGATGAGAGTCAGATTTGAGATATATAATATCAAAATAGTATTTATAATCTGACTTTATATAATGTATTTGAATATTAATTAAGAATAAAATATGTAATATCAAATTATTAGTAATTATTAGCTTCACATAATTTATTTGAATATTACTAAAAAATAAGATATGTAATATTGAATTATTATTCTATCTGATAATATATCAAAATATAATTTTATAATATATATATTTGTAATAATTATTTCTTGATATATTACTTTTTTTTTACTTAAAATAATACTTATTTAATATACTTAAATGTTATTTAAGAATAAGATATATAGTATTATTACTATTTTAAGATTATATGTATATTGTTACCTTTTTGGTACGAGTTCTGAGGTGAGGGTGAGTATTAAACCTAATATTACAAAAACACGTGATAAAAGCGACCACGTATTTAAAATGATGTTTGGGAGAGTCTTTAAAAGGTTTATTAACAAGAAGGTGTCTATTACTATTTCAAAGTTAATCTAAAGGTAGGTAATGATAGTGTTCTTGTTGTAACTAGCTAGAATGTAGCCCAATTCCAATATGTAATTTCAAGACAGATGTAATGATCAGT